GTAGGTATGGTTGTGTCGGCTTGTGCACGGGATCTTTGGCGTCTTGCATGCAATTTCAGCGCCATTGGGTAAAATTCTGTGATGCCCCTTTGCGGCTTGTGCTCACTATTTGTATGCACTTGCACAAAATGTCCGGGGACTCCGGCAAAGCTACGTGCCGTCCTATCACTTACCCAAGCTCACTTTTTGGAGGCATTTGCGCCAAATATCCACGCACTGGCATAAAGGGGCGTACCGCCAGATCTCTGTACGGAGCACACTTTTTCGACGCACTTCAACAAAAATATGACGGACTCGCAGGGACATTATGTTTGTTCATTTGGGCAATATGAGCTGTGAACGAGTACATGATTTGGCGTATGTGGGTAAAATAATGCCCTTCGACATGATAAGGGACCCACATAAATGAGTCGCTAAAATTTGATCCAGCGTTTTGTGCACCTTCCCCATAATATCCACTTTGCCCAAAATGCGCTTCTTAGATGTAACTTGACCACCTACCGTATCTTGTAGCAAGTAATGTAGCCAATCAAGAATTTAATGTAACTAAAATCCTCGTCCTTATTAGCAGTGCTACTATTATGGGAAAGTCCAGGAGCTTTCTTCAACCGTGCATGACACGTCCACTAGTCGGCTCCTTCATGCAAGAATTTCGGTCGAGGGAACAAGAAGCTTCGCGTTTGAGACCTGGACGGTCTTGGTTGGAATCTTCCATGGGCAGTTCGTTGTCGTCTTCTGCCCATATAACCGCACTCCATTTCCCAGGCACTTCCCCCATGAGCGCATAAAGCACTGGGATAGCAAATGGGACAAGATGATCATTATCGGTGTACTTTGCTATCACCTTGATCAAACTGTCCACCATGTCGTCCAAGAACTCGTCTGGATCTTGAAATTGAAATCTGCCACAATCATTCAATGTTGCGTAGTAGTCAATATTATCCTGTTTATGCACAATTGGTGGGAGGGGTTCCCCAGTGTCCTCGTCATATCTATTTTCGTGCTCACTAATCGTCACAGCCACCAGGTCTGTATTGAACTGAAGGATTTCGATCATGCGATCTTGGTATAGCAATGCATGCTGCATGGGTACCAAGACTTTGAACTTCTCCAGCAGACAAACATCATCTCCTTTTGCAATTATATTTAAAAGTGGCAGGAACGAACCGTTTGATTTTGCATCTGCAACTTGAAGGGTAAGACTTTCTAGTCCGCCAAGAATATTGTAACCAATACCTTGAATCAGGTCTTGACAATCCTCTTCCTCAGTGAAAATGGACAAATGACTTAGTCGCATCCGCATTTCAAAAAGCTTTGCTACTACAGCAGGTCTCAAGTTCTGTTTCCCGTAAAGATTGATGCTGATGGATGTTGTGGTGTTGGGGAGACACTGTATCATCTGGAGTTTGGTTTCGTCGCAAAGTTGAAACGAATCCATGCCGTCCGTAAACGGTGTTCTTCGTACAAATTGTCCAGACAATGGTGATCTTCTTTGATACGTGTACCACAACAGGGCTTCTGGGAACAGTGTGAATAAAACTTTGAAATTCTCCTCGTGAATCTTTTCCCTGGGATCTTCAAAAAAGTCAAACAGGATCTCAGAAATTGCCTGATTGGTGGATGCGGAGGGTACAAGTTTACCGAGAAAGTCAATGACATCCGGCTTTGTATTCCATCTACAAGCATCATTGAAGACATCCTCATTCATCGCAGCTGGATCAGCCTCATACACCAAACGGACCATCTCAATGGGAGCTCCAGAAATCACCAACCTGTGCAATGGGGACAGCTGTTGGAGTTCGGGCAGCTTCACAAAAGGGAACTTTTGTCGTCTTCTATCTCTGTCGCGATCATAAGCATGGTCATAATATTCAATAGCTGCTTCGGACATGGCGAAGTTGAATGCAGTGTAGTAGGGGATTCTTTCAGAGCAGTTGTGTTTGTATGAGAGAAGCTCCGAGGCGTTGGCAGATGATTGCCGAGATGATGCATGAGGCCTCGGTCAGTCTGAAGTTATATATATATATAGTACGTGTCACTGATTTGGACTGCGCCTCTTACCGCAACAAAGATCCCGTCAAAGTTTTAACCCAACAAGAACGCGACAAAATTTCCAAATATAAAGACGTGTGCGAGTCCAATCGCGCTTCCTTCCACCCCTTTGTTGTTTCAGTGGATGGCATGCTTGCCCCTCAAGCCAAGACTCTCTTACAACGCCTTGCTTCTGCTAGCTGCCTCCAAAACTTCAAAATTTTCCTTACTCTGCAAAATGAATGTTCTTCATGCAGTACCACGTAATCTCACATTGCCCTTGTGAATAGCTACCCATTTAATCGTCCCTCGCGTGGATCCCGCAATAGCCAAACCCTTTGCCCCACGTAATGGTCCTCAATTTATCACCCCTTATTCCACGGAACCTAGTTCTGAATATTCGTCTGTTCTTTGCTTAATCCTGTCCCCGGCTGGCTTCCTTAGTTAATTTCCCTACTCTAAACACCCCTTATATATTATACTATAGTTAATTTGGAGGGAGTGCTGGTATACGCAATGGGAGGGGGGGGTTTGAGTGGGTTTTTTTTTTTTCTGCAAATAAGAACTACTCGCGCCTGATGTCTCAACCCCTTTAAACCTCGCAGGTAAAAGCTGCCTGATGTCTCAACCCCTTTAATGCTATTTTCTATTTCCTATATCCTATTCATCCTAATTTCCTATAATCCTATTTCCTATTATCCGCTATTCCGGTGAAGCCAAAGAATAAGGATAGAGATAGTCAAAAGACAACAAAACTGAACATTGAAGGTTAAATACAAGTTAGGGGTAGGAATAATTCATTAATATTTAAGGTTAGTGCAATCATCAAAACAGCACAATAAGCAAACAGGAGCTGTAAAGGTAAGAGTAACAATAAGGGAATGGCAGCTAGTAAATTATAGAGTAGCTGGGTGTTGTGTCGGGTGTTGTCACAAGGGCTAGCTGAATAAAAAGAAGCTTGCAATGAGGGTCGAGATACTAGGGTGCAGGCCATGCTAAATCAAGATGACATACTGTCTACTGACCGTACGTCAGGGTGGCTTGTCGCAGCTGGGCTAGCTTGAAAGATGTGTGCAATCCGAACATAATCCTCTTTCTTCTATCTGTCTTTCTGCGAGGTATCGCAGCCTTTCTCCTCCTTTTCACTGACTTAAATGTTATTTCCTATTTCCTATTATCTATTTCCTATTTCCTATTTCCTCTATTTTACGGTGAGGCCAAAGTATAAGGATACAGATAGTCATAAGCCAACAAATCTGAACATTGATGGTTCAATATAAGTTAGGGGTAGGAATAGATCATTAATATTTAAGGTTAATACAATCATCACAACAGCACAATAAGCCAGCATGAGCTGTAAAGGTTAGAGTACAATAAGGGAATGGCAACTGGTAAATTATAGAGTAGCGTGCGGCGCGGGCAACATCACCAACGACTAGCCTCGACGTAGCGGGTGTTTGTTTGCATATTTTCGACCGTCTATATGAAGCCTGATATGACCTTCGGTTTGTCAAGATAAGGGGCAAACAGTAGTAGGTCAAGAATTTCGGACGATAGGACATTGGTCTCACTGGTCTTAACAATAGGATTATGTCCAGGTAAGCAATATCGGATCCTTTCCCGCTTCAGAATGGGTGAG